TCCTTATAACCAATTCTCTATATTACCCCTCCATTAAAAAAGAAAAAAAGGCAAGATAAGATTTCTATTCTGAGACTTCCAGAGTGACAATGGACTGGCTCTCATCTGAACTACTATTTATACATTCTAAAATTTAAGTTAGGTGGTCAGGAACTGAAATGTGTATCACGTATGACAAGCCGTTATTATATACTGTAGTCTTAACCCACCCCCAACACACACACACACATGCTGAAGAGTCCAAAGAATCCAACTAAGAAATTAAAGGAGTATTGTACTAGGTAAAGTATTATCTGATATTGTAAGACTTGGTTAAATAAAGTAAGAACCATTTTACAATCTTATCCAAGACTTCCATTTCTCTACAAAGCACTCCATACACATATGCCTACCCAAGTTAGACCATCAATAATGACAGTTTACTATTTATCAAAAGCCCTTTAAGGTTTGCCAAGTGTTTCCCCTACCCTGTGAGGAAAGCAGTTTTAAGTATTATTATCCTCCTTTTACAGCTGGAGAAACTGAAGCTCAGAGTTAAAGCATCCTATCTGTGGTCATACCACCACTAGGGCTATAGCTAAACCCCCAAACTTCTGATTCTAAAGTCCAATGCTCTTTCTGTAATACTAGGATTATTCATCCTATTGACGGGCTGCTGTGTATTTTTATTTTGCTAGTCTCAATGTGAAGAGTATTAAAAGCAACGGAGACCAATATCTAGAGTCATAGCAACGCACAGGGACAGCCTTTGAATACCGCTGCCTTTTTTTTTTTTTAACAAACATAAATAGGAATGAGGAATCCCCTGAAAGATCTAATTTTGGGGGACAGTGTAGATTGGAAAGCTTCTGGCATGTGACAAAGAGTAAGGGACCTCTTTCTGAAATCTCTGCCCAATCACACACGGGAGAGGTGATCAGGGAACATGCCCATAGATGTGGCGAGTGGAGAAGGAAGGAGTTATTGGAAAGAGAGCCAATGAATAGCAGCGAACCTAGGAAGAGAGAGATAAAAACACAGGTTTCAGTGATATTTTTCCCCTAGGTTCTGAAAAAGGAAAGGCTGTATCCCAATCTCTCTTAAGCATTTTTAACTTCCTAGCTTTTAAAATGCCTGCACTGAGAAAAGCATAAACAGGTCTGGTTCCATTGACAAATACAGGAGCACTCCAGTTAACTGACTGAAGCTTAAACATTTTGGTAGTTAACTGCCCCAGGGCTGAAGTCCTCTGAACCAGCCCCAGCCTTGAATTCTGTGCCAAGAAAAGGAGGCATTCTACTTTCTTCTTCCTGTACTTTCAAAACAAGAAACTGGCACCATAACTGTCAACCAGGATAGACAGAGGCTGAAGAATGCATAAAGGCCAAGAAATACACAGTATTATGAAAAAATCAGGTTTCTGCTGTAAAAAATAAATTATTCTTATTAAAAACTACAAGCACAATACTACACATAAATTTAAGTCCATTAATTTCTGCATTAAAGATAATATATTACTGTTAAGTTTGAAAAAAAAACATTGCCATATTACATTATTATACATGGATGGTGGGGTACTAACAGGAAGGAGGAATTGGACAGCAATGAAATAAAAGAAAAATCTATATTACATTAAAAATGAGAAAATGCCTAATCGGCTTATTAAATTGCTACCATGATTGGAGAACCAGTAGGAGAGACACTTGGTCAAAGATGGAAAGAAATCTTCAATATTTATCAATATATACACATATGTATTTTTTTGTTTTGTATATATTTGTTTGAAAGTTGTCTCCCCACTAGATTGTAATCTCCTTGAGAGCAGGGGGTGTCTTTTGTCTCTTTTTGTATCCCTAGCACTTAGCATGCTTGTTGACTGATTAACATATACTGTGTGGCTTTGGGCAAATCATTTAACCTCTTAGTTCTCGAACAACTTGCTAAGACTAAAATGAATTACAGATCTGTATCAGTAGATGGAATTGACATACTTCGCATTTATTAAAAAAAAAGACCTGACAAAATCATAGATCTGGATAATTCCTCCCCTACGGTAACCGTTGCTCACTTGTTAACAAATATCTGTTTTAACTAATAGATGAAAAATAAATAAATGCATAATTACTCAAGTAACATTTTAAAATTTCTGGGTGGTAAAGATCATCTTCTTGACAATAACATCATTCAACCATAGCACATTACTAAATAATAAACTAGGTGAAATTAAACTTATCAACTTATCAAGGTAAATGTAAACCACTTTTGTTGAAAACTCAAGCAACGAGAAAATTTCAGCCTAAAAGGCAGTTAACACTCTGTCAACAATGATGACCTAAGGCACTAAAATACTTTTTAAATGTTCTTGAATGAAGAGCCCTGTCAAGTTATAAGGCACACATCCTACCAGAAATACATGCTAAAGTTTTAGTAGTCAGCAGCTCAGATGAAAATTAAGGGAATGTTTGACACTGATTTTCTTGCTTGTACTGTTGGAAGGGGGAATAGAAGGAATTTGGTATGGAAATTCCCAGTATTGGAAGAATACAGTTCTACAGTTTTAACCTTTTAACAATTATTAGTTTCAGGTAACAGTAGTAAAACATTGCTGGTACAAGATCAACCATGAACTTTCTGAATGTAAAATGTTTATTGCCACAGAATATCAGACTATCTGGCATTCTCATCAATGAGTCAAGTCTAGAGTTTTCTTCAAAATGATGCTGTCTTAATGGAACCATTTTAATTCACTATTTAGTCATCACACAAAAATAAAAACCAGATCTTTGTTCCCCAAAATTAATATTTCTAAGTTTAAAAAAAAGCATTCCTTTAATAAAATTACATATAACATCTGAAGGTTTCTTTTTCCCATTATTTCTTAAATTGCCTTCAATTTTTTAGGCCCATATTTTACAAAATGGAAAAGTATCATCTGAGATATAGGTCAGAATTTAAAAAAAGATAAGCATGTAAAATAAGTGTGCCATAATTGAGATATTATTACATAAAAGATTCAATCATTTGTTTGTAAAAGGCCCATCAAATTTTGGGTACAACTAAATACCACCAACAGAGAGGAAATTGGGAGAACTGATTATTTCCTAAAGAAAAAGATAATTCCACATACATGTTTTTAACACTTATAAGCAAGGAGAATTTTTAAATTTGCAAAAATTAATAAATAAACCCTAAATGCACCTGACAGAAGGCTATAAAACTGCTGAAAAATACTTTCTCATAGTTTTCAATGAGAAAGTAAATTTACTGACCTTAACTTTAATAAAATAATGCTCCTGGGCTCAAAAGCTTAATGACAAATTCCAGAAGAGTTTTGAATGTATTTATGAAATGTCCATTCATATATTTTCCATCGTGTCCAATATTTCCCTTAACACAACAGGGTGTCACAGTGAAACTATACATTTACAAAGATATGACCATTTAAAAGAGTCAACCAATAGCAATAAAAGAATCACAGTTTCAGAGCTGGAAAGGGATCTTCAAGGTTCAAGCCCTTCATTTTACAGATGAGGATACCAAGGCCCAGAGATGTAAAGGTCACCTAATTAGCAGGTGACAGTCTGGTTTTCAACCCACGTCCTCAGATTCCAACTGCAGGACTCTTTCTACCATACCAGGAAGTCTCATTACAAACTCTAAAATCTCATTAGCACTAAGTACATCTCATTACTAGATAAACAAAACAGTAAATGTGTCATCCAGTCCTCTGGGTTCTGCTTTGGGAGTCTTTTTCTTTTTTTACTATTTTTTACTTAAATTTTTACTTAATATTTTACTTAAAACATTTTGCATTTAGGTATACTGGAAGAAGCTGGTTTCCTTATTGAACTCCAACATTCAAAGCGCTGACTCTCTGCCACCATTTATGAAAATAATAAAAACTAAGACTACCAATGTGGCCATTTCTTTAATTTTTTTTCTATTTTCTAGCTTGGGATGACTTAAATATGAAGTATCTGCCTAAAATGAGTGACAAAGAAAAAAAACTTTATGGGGATAAGTCAAAACCTTACAAAAGTACATTTCTGTATATCCCTACTTGTGAAAGCTTTTATTACTTTTTTTAAAGGCCGGTTATAGAGAAGTTTGAGGAAGGCAAACGCAGAGGTCCTGACTAAACAAGAATGAGAGAAAACAAAAAGCAATTAAGTGAGGTCTGAGAAGCTGAACCCTACAGGGTAAGCAAGATGGGGAGTAAACTCTCATTAAATGAAAAAGCAGGTCCCCCTTCACCTTGTGGGTCCCAATCTGCACATTCACAACGTGGAGGAAAACACTGCATTCTAAGTAAACAGCCATGAAAACACATACGCTAATAAACATCTGACATGCACAAGTGAGCTCCTGTCCTAACTTTGCTCGAACCTAATCTGAGAACTTCAGGAGTGGAAGGATGACACGCTGGACAAACACTTTCCCACTTGAACAACTCTACCCTTCTCTCCCTCCACGACCCGGAGCTGGATACTCGGGTGGGAGGCTAGACTGGAAGCTCAAGGTTTTGGGAAAGAAATCAGGGGAATGGACAGGGTCTGGTGCAAAAAGCAAAAACTGAATCGAAGGGTCGCGTCAAGTCCCTTTCTAGCGGTGTGCTGGTAAAAGTTTAACAACCGCCTCTGGGTTGGGGGTGGGGAAGTATTCAGGGCACACTTTTAAAATTTAATCTTCATTAACATTTTCGCAGTCACTTTGTTAAGTCTAGATAATCAACAAAACAGTAAGTCAAGCCCGGACTTTATTTCCGAGGTGCAAAGGCTCACGCTATTTAACACCTAGCCCACCGCGTCGCCTCCTCCAAAGAGCTAAGGACTTGAACTTGACCCCAGGCAGCCTCTGCCCGCGCCACCTGCGTCCAGCCCCAAGACCCTCCGGACTATTAGGAGAAGCTGCCGCCCTGCCCGGGCCCAGCCGGGAGGGGGATGGCGGCGAAGCCTTCCAGCCGGGGATCCCCTCACCACGGGGGGCGGGGGCAGAGCGAGGACCCTCCCCCTCACACTCACCGGCGGCTCCCCGCTCACGCTGCCCCCTCGACGGGGGAAATCCCTAGGTCCCGGGCCAAAAAAAGGGGGCGTTGGGGAGACCCCCGAGTCCTCAAGCTATGGACGAGGGACTTGTCCCCTCCTTCCTTCCCGGCGGCGACCACTTGGACTCCGAAGGCAACGGCAGCAGGATCAGCAGCGACGGCGGCGGCGGCGACACCAACCAGACCTTACAGTTGAGGTTTGAAAACTTGCAGCCTCGTCGTCCCGCAGCCCAGCCCCGGGGACTCCGCCCCCTCCATCCCGGCGACCCAATCAGAGTCAAGTTCAGGGGCGGAGCCGACACGTGACGGTCTAGGGAGGGCTGGCTGCTGGAAACTGAGGGTGCAGCCCGTCCCAGGCTGGCCCGGGGTGTCTCGTGGCGGGCAGTGACTTGGGAGTCTGCAGAGACCACAAACTGGGTGGGGGTGGGGCAGAGCTAATTACAAGGAGAGAGGGAGAGGGGGGAGAGGGAGGGGGATGGGGGATGGGGAAGAGAAAGAAGTGGGGAAAAGGGGAGAGAAAGTGAAGCGGGGAGAGGGTAAGAGAGTAAAAGAGAAGGGGAGAGAGGGGAAGAGAGGAGAGAAAGGGGAAGAGAGAAAGAGGGGGAAGAGAGAAAGAGAGAGAAGAGGGAGGGGGGAGAGAGAGGGAGAGAGGGGGCAAGGGGAGGAGGAGATGGGAGAGAGAAGAGAGAGACAAAGAGAGAGAGGAAAGAGAGGGAGAGGGGGAGAGACAGAGACAGAGAGACATGCAAAGCTGCCCAGTGGTGCTTGTGATCAGCAGAGAGGAGGCCAGACCCAGGGCCGGGGATGCTTAATTTCGATGTGCTGGCCTCCCAGAGATGGAGTAAAACGACAAAGCGGACTGGAGATGATGGAGGGCCAGTGAGAACTTTGTGCAGCTGTGGGACAGGCTTCTTTGCTATTCCAACCGCAGTGGAATGATCTGAACCTTTCTCTAGGAACCGGAGAGAGGCAAGGGCTGTGACATGAAAATTCTTTGGTAGCATGGGAGTTTGTGCAGTGAGATTTGTGGCAGTATCCCCATCCCCAGTGACCCCTCCTGTCCTTGATCTTTTTTTTTTTTTTTTAACAGTTAAGGGGAGTGAAATGACCAGGAATCATTGATTATTCAGATTCTCTCAATGAATGAAAACTAAAATAGTAAGTGCAGAAAGATAGTTTATTACTTGAGATGTCCGAAATAGAATATAATTATATACGTATATTTAATATTCTGTTTGTAACAGGATACATCAATAATGAATTATAGAACACTGTTAGAAAAGCCCTTTCAATATAGAGAAGTCGTGAAAAGACAGCCCCAGGACAGGCAAGGTATGCAGCAGGTTAGAGTAGTGGTGTTACATAATGGCCACTAATCCTTATGTAAGGATCCTTGGGGGTCACATATTGATTTAGTTTTAAAATGTAATGTTATCCATCTTATTGTGTTTTTATTGATTTTGTTTGATATTTCTCAATTATATTTTAATATGGTTCAGGCCCCACACCAAGTTTGATACCTCTGGGTTAGGGTATAATATACGGGGACTGCAACAAAGACTTAAAGATTTAGGGGATAAAGATTGGATCTGTGGTTTTATTGGTGTAGGGAGCTTACAGATGGGAAAACTCCACCATCATCTTTTAGTCTCATAGAGTTGCCTGAAGTAATGAGATGTGAATTGTCCAGTGTTGAACAACCATAATGACGTCACACGTAGGACTGGAACCCTCATCATCTTGGTTTCAAAATCCTGTCTCTGCTCACTATATTATGCTGCCCCCATACTGTGTGTGTGTGTGTGTGTGTGTGTGTGTG